GAAAAATGTATAAGACTCTCAATATCTTATTTTATATTAAATTCTATGGATAAAAAATTCCCACGAACTTCCAAGCACCGTTTTCTTTTCTCTTTTGATCTTTCCGTCATAAACGCACTTGATGAGAGCTCTTGATGGTGAACCGAATGGCAAGAAAATGTCGGGAATCGAAAAGTCATAAAAATAATAAAAACCCTTAAAAAAGTGTAAAAAACTGTCTCATAAATAATCATTAAAAAATAATTTTTAATTTCTCACCTTTTTTAAAGGAATTGTCAGATTTTTTGTTTCTAATATTTTTTGTGCCAATGCTTTTGTTATGGAATTTCCAAAAGCTCCTTTCAATAATCTTGCGGTATCCAATGAAGTTTTGAAATATTGTCGCTTATATTCTCGATCCCTGTCATTTTCCGGGAAATTGATGCTGCCTGTGATCCTTGATTTAACAACTTCGTAGAAAGTTTCAATAGTGAGGTTTATTAAAGTTGAATGGATGCCATCATTTTGAAGTGTATATGAAATATTTGTTATATTTTTGTTGAAATTCATATTAATGTGATCAATAATTATAAAAGAATTCTAAAGTGAATTATATATTTAGAATTTTTTTGCATCCAATAGAAATATTAATAATTTTTTACATTTTTGTGAATGAGTAAAACAGTACCAATAAACAGAAATCTGCAGATGTTCATGCTTGTGTTAAAAATTTGTAACTTTGCACTTTTATATATTCTGTATTCCATTTATTAATCCGTATGGTCGTAATGATATAATAATTATAGATAATGACATTTGAAAGAAATTGAAGCGTAAATTGTCAATCACAATCAAACAGTTTAAAGCTAATGGAATATGACAAAAAATTTGTTAACTTTTTAAATTAAATTCGGTTAATAAAAAATTCCCATGAGCTTCCATGCACCGATTTTTTCCGTCCTTTGATCGTTCCTTCTATAACCGTTTTCAAACAAGCTCTTGATGGTAGACCATAAGGTAAAATAATTTCAGGAAAAGAAAAGGCATGCATATAAAAAGAATCCTTTTAAAAGTGGAAAAACTATCTCAGAAATCATTACAAAAAAATAATTTGTAATTTCTCTCACCTGTTTTAAAGGAATTGTCATATTTTTTGTTTCCAATATTTTTCGTGCCACCTTTTCCGTGAAGGAATTTCCAAAAACTCCTTTCAATAATCTTTCGAAATCCACTGAAGTTTTATAATATTCTCATTCTCATTTATATCTTTGATCTTTGTCATTTTCTGGAAAATTGACACTGCATCTACATGTAAATCTTAGTTTAACAATTTCATAGAAATTTTCAAATGAGATGTTTACTGAAGTTGAATGGATGCCATCATTTTGAAGTTTATACGAAATATTTGTTACATTTTTGTTGAAATTCATATTTATGTGGTCAATAATTACTACGGAATGCTAAAGTGAATTATAATGTAAATTAAATTGTAATTAATAAAATGTCATTGATTGTTACACAGTGTGGCTTACACTATTGTATGTCAATAAAACAGCAGCAATTAATAGAAATTCACGGATTCTCATGTCGTTGCTGGAATTATGCAACTCTTCGGAATCTTGTTTAACGAAAAATTAGTTTCATATTAAGATCCATAAATTTACCAAGTGTAATTAGAATGTCATTTGTAAGGAAGTTAAGCGGAAAATTCTGATTGATACGAAGAAGATAAATAATAACGAAATTTGCCATACTGGCAGTTGATATAAATTTTTTTCGTTATTTCTTTATTAATAAAATATTGACTGGTAGTGATGTTTTATATTTTATATAGAGAAATGTATAAGACTCTCAATATCTTATTTTATATTAA